AGCGTGAAGTTCGCAGTAGCAATTCCTACCGTGAACGGAGATGTTGAGGGTTTAAGCGCCACCGCCTCCCTCTTGCTTTCCGCTTCCTTTTCAAATTATCTTTGGTTCTCTTCCTGGTAAGACTTCTAGGCAGCTTCCCTTCCCTCTATTCTATATGACTTTCATAAGTTGTCATAGATTTCAGCACTCTCAAGTCTCACTTACTCTGTTGTTTGGAAATTGCATTTTATGATTATTATTTTCCTTTTCCTGGGGCGGTTCTCGGACCATTGTTCATCATATGAATGTGGCTGACAATTGATGGATCTTGCCCAGCTCTATTTCAGTTGAAATGTCTCGGCATCTTTTGTGTTGTTTCGATTTTAAGTCAATTGCTCAAGTCTTTCCTTCTTTCTCAACCGTTTTAGAAATTATATAACAACTGTGGAGAACTGTTCTAATATTTTTCAGCTAAATTACTTAGGCGGGTGAATTTTTCTTGGGCCCCGCTTTTGATTTGCTGATGTGCTTCTTGGATTTTGCTTCTATTTTTTGAGGTAGTATTGTCAATGGGATGCATTATAGTTTGCTACTGACCTTGTTGGATAACCTTTGTGCCTATTCATTTTTGTGCGTTCAGCTTATCTCAGAGCTTTGATTAATTTTGTATAGCTTCGATCAGAAGAAACATGCTTATCCATTTTGAAAACCTTTTATAAGTTTTTACTTCTTCCAAGTTCTGATGAATGTTAAAAGCTGACAAATTGTATTTGACGATATCTTTACTTCTTATGAATGACTTTTCAACCTAGTGTAAGGCTTTTCTTAATATATATATATGTGTGTGTGTATATATAATTTTCAAAATTATTGATTAGCTGTGGCATCAAGATAATATCATTGGATTGGCCATGGATTAAACTGGTGGCCGGGCCAGTGACCACTTAATTTGATCTGATTCCAGGTTGTTGATCATTGTCTTATACAAGCCATATTCTTATCACTTCTAAAATATGGAAAACTCAGATACAAAGGTGACAAGTTCATCACCACCACCATTGCTGCCACCAGTAGTCAGAGAAGAGCCAGAGCTGAAAAAACTTAAAATGTCTACCACCACTTCTGATGATGAAGAATGCACAACTACAACTGGGACTAAGAAAAGATACAAGCGCCGCAAAATTGCCATTTTTTTTGCTTACTGTGGTGTTGGCTATCAAGGCATGCAGAAAAATCCTGGCGCCAAGACAATTGAAGGTGACCTAGAAGAAGCGTTATTTGTGTCTGGAGCTGTCCCTGAGCAGGATCGCGGAATTCCTAAAAGGTATGACTGGGCTCGCTCTGCTCGAACTGATAAAGGTGTTAGTGCTGTTGGTCAGGTTGTCTCAGGACGTTTTTATATTGATCCGCCTGGTCTTGTTGACCGCCTTAATTCAAACCTTTCTCCTCAGATACGAATCTTTGGTTACAAGCGTGTCACAGCATCTTTTAATGCCAAGAAGTTCTGTGATCGGAGGAGGTATGTCTATCTCATTCCTGTGTTTGCTCTTGATCCGAGTTCACATCGTGACAGAGAGAGTGTGTTAGCTAGTGTGGGGTCTGAAAATGAGCTTGTTAAATGTGTTGATTGTTCTGAGAGGGGTCGTAAGGTGCCTGGCTTGGTTGGTAAGCACAATACAGGATTAGAAGCTATGGATACTTGCATTTCATCCGAAGAAAATCCTGCTCCTAACTCCGGAGTCGCAGAGGATTTTGGGGTTTCTTTGAACGAAACTGATGTTGATCATTTAAATAAGAAATCCAGTAGTGAGGGTGAGATTCCAGCGGAGAGTTTGAATTCTGAACTTGAGTCTGTCGTTCCTTCTCATTGTGAGGTCGCTCACATGAATGGTGGATCAATGGACGATTCAAGCTTTGTTGGCAAAGAAAATGTCAATGAAGAGGAGGAGACTATAAAGGGCAGTGGATTCTGTTATGGTGAGAAGGAGCGGGAGAGGTTTAATAGGATTTTGAAGTATTATGTAGGGACTCATAATTTTCATAACTTCACCACGAGAACAAAAGCTGAGGACCCTGCTGCTAAGCGTTTCATAATTTCATTCGACGCTAACACCGTTGTCACAGTTGAGGGCATTGAATTTGTGAAGTGTGAGGTTGTGGGACAGAGCTTCATGCTTCATCAGATACGGAAGATGATGGGTCTTGCTGTAGCAATTATGAGAAACTGTGCGCCAGAGTCACTTGTTGAGAAAGCTTTGCAGAAGTAAGTACCGTCCTGTAGTTTTTATTAGCTTCAATTAATCATATTCATGGACAGTATTAAGTTTTCATATTTTTTACTGCAGGGATGTTAACATTAATGTGCCTACTGCTCCAGAGGTTGGTTTATACTTGGATGAGTGCTTCTTTGCATCATATAACCATAAATGGAAAGATAGTCACGAAGAATTGTCAATGAAAGCATATGAGAAAGAAGCTGAAGATTTCAAGATGAAGTATATATATTCTCACATTGCTTCCACAGAGAAGAAGGATGGAGCTGTAGCTCTCTGGTTGCATTCTCTAAACCATAGAAATTATCCAGATCTGCGAATTGTCAATGAGGAAGGCGTTACTGATAACAAGAGAGATGAACCGGAAGTTATCAGCTAATGAACTATTTTTCCATAGTACAATTAGAACTCTTGATTCATTATTGATCTGTGCCTATTTATTTTTCCCCCTGTTACCTTTGGCAAGATAGGCTTCTCTTAAACTGGTTGAGAGAGTTCAGACTGATTTTACATAAAAAAACTACAATCTTCCCTAGATGTGGACTGCTTCTTTGTTTATCATTCGGTAGGACTTTCTTTCCTTGCTGTATTCTTAATTTTTCCTTTATTAGCCAATAGGATTTTACTTGCCTATGTCTCTTCGAACATGATTTGGCTTATATGATTTGTGAATGTTGTATCATCCTGTTTGGCTGAGCGGTTAAACGTCCACAACTTACTGTTTTTTTTTTTAAAACCAAAGGCATGTTTGAAAAATTTATGGTGTTTCGGTTAGCAATGTAGCAACCTGACTTTTACAGGAAAAGCTATAATAAGTTATAAGTAAAATTTAGCTGCTTATGACTTATAGTTTGTGGCTTATTGTTTTTAAAATATGAAGAGAGAAAATTTTAAGAAATTTATTACTTTCTTTGGTTCTTATAAGCTTCAGATAACTAATTTACGGATAATAAAAAAATAGTTAAAATTAGTTGAAAGTAATAAATAAGTGAGAAATATATTTTTATTTTTAAATATGTCTTTATAATAAATGATAAAAAATAAAAAATATATATGAGATTAGTAGGAGTGTATAAATAATTTAAAATTACTATATTATGTAAATTGATAATTTTTTATTTTTAATTGTTTAATACAAGTCATACTCATTTTGATAATTTTACAAACTATAATTATTTATTTAATTATAATCCAAACAACTTACTTTCATAAACAAACTTATTTATAAAAATCAATCCAAATTAAAATCATGTTACCCAATCTAACTTTTCTAAAAATTAGATTGAAAATAAGATTTTTTTTTTCAACTGCCAATCCAAATGGGTCTCATGTCATCTTTTCCAATTAGATCTCCCACATGTAGAATCTACCACACACAGGCACACACGTATCATGAGAAATAGAAGTGTGGTCACAAATGAGAAATGGTAGTCTCTACGGTGTTTATCTCTCTTTTTATAGACTTACTAAACTACTGAGCTCAAGGTGGCCTATCAACCTTCAATAGTATACTATTTTTGACTAAATGTAAAACTTATTTTGTAGTTACACTACATTTAGGATTGAAAAAGTATTTAAGTTTTTGAAATTTTGATTCACTAATAACTTAGTTCTTGAAATTTGGTCTTTCGAATTTACCATCATTTTGGTTTTGGTTCCTCAAATTTCTTTTTATTTAAAATATTAATCCCTATAATCCAATAAAAATTTAGACTATTTTACCCCTTGAGGGACTGAAACCTATGGTTTGAAACTTAAAGGATTAAAACCAAAATGAAAGCAAACTTGAGGAACCAAAGATTATATTAACCCTTGTTCTTATCATCCATAACTTATCATGAGTGAGTTGATGTGGCTTTCAACTCAACTCTACGTAGTTTTTACATAAAATAAAAGCAGTAAGATTAAATTGAGTTTCCTTCACCACCCGCGAGAGCTGCAAGTGGAATTGGCATAAGACGCTGTTAGCTTCAAGTTGAAGAATAAATGCAAAGGAAGGAACATGATGGTAAGGATTAAAAAGTTCAAGAATGAAATTACAGGAAGTCAAAATTTAAAAATTAAATTATAATAGGGTTAAAACGATAAAAATAAAATTTTTTATCATGTATGTTTTCTTTTGTTACGTACATGTATTTTTCTATTAAAATCTCTGTAATTGGCCTCACCGTTAGTATCTTTTATGTGTTAGAAAGAAGGGGTGATAAACTCTAATCCCTTTTTCCCCCACCCATTATGATGCCCTTCCTGAGCCCAACTTGTTTTTTCGGCTTGAGAAAGGCTACAGCCCGTTCGTTTGGTTCGAAAAGCATTTGGAGGAATCAAAGCGTGAAATAAGAATAAAAATATTTACCAACAGAATTGGGTCTAACAGAAAGAGTTAATCTCCCACAACATGATGAATTAAGATCCGAATTTTTACTGAGAGAGATGTCCACATTTAGTGCCTGACAGTGTCTTAAATAAGATTGTCTCCAATAGGAAGATACCTATGTTTTGACCAAAAAAAATGAAAATATTTCTAATAAAAATTGGTCCAGATAATAAGAAATCCACTGATAACCTTAATATAAAAATCTTATTATTAGTGGATAATTTGTAAATATTTCTGTAAAGTGTTTTTTAAATCTAGATCTAAATTTTTTTAACAAAAAAACGAAAATATTGAGAGACAATAATTTATAAAAAAATGAATTAATAAAATTAATTATAAGCCCAATAAAACGCAATCTCGTCCGGGCGAAGAAGCAGATCCATTTTTCTGCTTCGAGAAAAAATCATTCCGTGCTTTCGAATTTGCCGTCGGACGCCGTCCGCCGTTGTTAACGCTAGTTGTTCTCCGTCGTAACATAGGTCCGCCTATGACTGCTGATACGTTATCCGGTGTGATCTGCATTTCGTGATTAATTTGGTAGCTGGATCCGCTCCAAAATTTCAGTATTTGTTATACTGGGTGAGTTGGGATTAAAACTTGCTCACCCCAGTGTGAAGCCATACGATGATCGGAGCTGGAAAGATCAAGCAGTATAGTAATGTCCTGGAAAAGCCCCTCAACAAGGGCAAGCAAGAGGTTCTTTGTCCTCTTCAATCTACTATTTTTTAATTTTTTTTGGGTCTGTCCTGCCCTTTAAATTCTCTGGACAATACATTGATTGCTATCGACGCGCCTTGCTTGGCATATAGAATAATAACCCTTTTCTCCCCCTCTTGCCTTATTGAGATCTCATTCTCTGGGGCATTCTGCTTCTGTTCAACCTGTCTGCTGTCCTGGAAAGAGGGAATTTAAGCATCAATTGACCATGCTGAACTCAAAATACGAATAGTTGTTTGGATAATTTTATTGGCATGTGAAGTCCGTTGGGTCTATTTCTATATTAGTTATATGTAGTTTTGATGTTAGTGCAGGTTAGTTTGAGTGCGTTTGCGTTCTTGTTCTCAGAGCTTGTGCAGTACAATCAAACACAGGTCGACAATATTGCTGAGTTAGAACGAAGGTGATTGCTCTGTGTTAGTACATTCTTTCTTTGTCCATTCTGACGGGATCAATGAAGATAAAGAAACGTGAAGAATATTCTTTTTGTTTTTTTTTTTGGGGTTAATTTCCCTGTATGATTCTTAATTGGAATCACTAAATTTGCTTTATCTTATGGTTGTGGAAAGCAGGTCACTCCATTGATAAGGATGATCTCTTCCCTGGTTTTAGCTTTAACTAATGATTAACGCAATATTATGCCTTGTATGATATTATCATAATCGGTCATCCTCTACTTTATTTGCAATTAATGGAGCATGAATAGGAAAAAGATCGAACACCATATGAAGCATAGGATGGAATTAGGCTTCTAACCATACAGTTGATGACTTAGTGTGATATAACAATTGACTCTAATGTCATGCAATTTATTTTGAACATCACAATTAAATGCACCAGACTGGAGGATGCTGGATATGCTGTTGGGGCTCGAGTTCTGGAACTGCTTTGCCATAGAGAAAAGGTATGATGGCTTTTGGAAACTCTTGAATAAAGTTTCATTTCTTCATCTAAATGTATTACAGTAATGATTCAAGTATCTAGCGAATTAGAGCATAACCCAATATTTAGACATTAGGATAAACTAGAAATATGGCTGTCATATGATCCCCTTTTCTAATCGATTTAACACGCATAATGGTCTATTTGGATTTATTGTCGAATACATGTTATATAAAGCTGTTCATTTAATACCTTTATCTCTTTTAAAATGCATAATACTGAGGTCACAGCCTTGGACATGTAAGGGATCCAGTTTGATCATGATTTTCTAATGAATTTGAATGTGTAAGGAAATGGAAAAAGGAATTTGGTGCAATCTTGAATTTTGATGGTTGTGATGACCATCAGTTATGGGATCATTTGTCCTGATGAATCTGGTGTTTTAGCAGCTAATTAGATACCAAATGGTGTTAAACTTGGGTTAAAATCAATCAGTAACTTTATGTTGGCGAGTTTGTTAATTATAATAAAACCTGGGATTATTTTTTATTATGATTAACTACTATGAACCTTGGTAAACTGACAAGTTTAGTGGTAAAATGCCTATCAACATTTTGGCGTTGAATTCTCCAACATGGTAATCTTCATGTTGAATCTCTAGTCTGTTAGAAGTACTTTCCCTAATGACTTTTCTTCTCCTTTATGAGCCTTCTCTATCCCTTAGTCTCATTAACTTTCTCCTCCAAAAATGAGGGAATATGTTCAGAGTCATAATCTTGTAAACATTGCACTGCTTCTAATATCAATTTTGATTTAATAATGTGGATGGGAAAATATTGGATCTTTTTATTAACCGTTTATATGTTAAAACCTTGACACCTTATGTTGGTTTTGGGCTGGGCATAGGGCACAGGCTGGAATGGTCTGTACTTTTGCTTTGCATGAATCACTGATGTAATGGTACTTTTCTGATTCCTTAGGGAAACAGGAGGGAGACAAGATTATTAGGTATTCTGTCTTTTGTACACAGCACAGTGTGGAAGGTATTGTTTGGAAAGGTGAGTTCCTTTATCCTTTTTAACTTTTTCTTCCCCCTTCTTCACCCCAAGAGCAAGCAGTTCCTTCCGATGGACACGAAATGCTAATTTTTGTTGCTATGATATGGTCATTGCAGTTGTGAGGGCATGTGGTTGAGTTTTACATTAATTGTCAGTCGTCAATCTGTCATGTTTATACAGGAATTGTTAACACATTGACACCATATTGCTTTGTGAAAAATGTCTCTGCTTCATAGGCTGTCATTATCTATATGGGCTTGCTCTTTTGATTGTGCCTTTCGATTCGTCCACTTATTCGTTGGAAGATCAGGTATAAGAGACTGGAAAGACATTCAAAACATTGGAAGCAAGTGAAACATTATACTGTTGTTCACTTATACGTGATTACCACTGCCCTTCACATGTGCTTGTGTAAAAAATGGGAGGCATAAGCTAATGACTCGTACATTTCTTGTATGTTTTCACTATACATATATATGTATGTATGTATATTCATTTTTCCACGGATTATACGAGGTCCTCATACATTAGCTCAACTGCTTGGCTGGTCCCTTAGTTGTTGCATTTGCCATTGGAATAGGTAGCGGACTCACTGGAGAAAGGCACTGAACATGAAGATGAATACATGATCAGTGAAAAGGAGCTCCTTGTAAACAGGTAAAAGATTTTTCACTCTCAACAACTTAATTTACAATTACACATAACCAGATGTTGTGTACATAAATTCATAGCAAGGTCTAGTTCTGTCTCTACTTTCTAGATTCATTTCTATTCCAAAGGACATGGGAACTTTCAATTGTGGAGCATTTGTCGCTGGAATAGTACGAGTAAGTACCTTCATGGCTTCATCCATCAATTGACTAGTTGATTGCTAGAGCCTAATGGAGGGTCCAAATCTAGTCACTGTTCTGATTCTGTTTTGTTCTTCTCAACAAAGGGCGTTTTGGATGGCTCTGGATTTCCAGCGGTTGTTACTGCTCATTTTGTGCCCATGGAAGGCCAACAACGACCACGCACTACTATCTTGATAAAGTTTGCTGAAGAGGTAGAATCCCACTGATTTTGATTCGTATCCTGTTGTGCCTCAATCTTGAGAAATTCTCAAGGAACACATGTTGCAATATTCTCAATGATTAGTGCTGTATTTGCTGACGTGAGACCCTCATGTTGGATTGCAAATTGTTGAAGTTAAATACTGACCATTGCATGCACCTTTATATTGTACTTGAATTTGCCCATCCATCTATACAAAACAATACTCTAGATTATGCAATATTTGTTGACTTTGTGGGGGTTTCTATGATCCAGGTACTACGTAGAGAAGCCCGACTAGGCTGATGATGTTCATACGATGAATTCACAACTGAGATGCTTGTGTTTTTTTACCCGAGTTCAAAAGATCTGGACTTTTGACCTCTGCTTGGCTCAGTAAAAGAGGACGTTCTCACAAGCCTGATTTATCTCTGTCCTCTGAACTCTTGTTTTTCTTCTTGTTTGTTTCATGTGTGTGCAATTAAAGGGCTGCCTTGAAGGCAGAATCGCTTAGTGAATTTAAATGATAACGTTAAAGACAAAATGGGCAGGTAAAAATGTATCTTTGATGATTTAACTTACGCAGAGTTTTAGTTGGCTATGAAGTTTTTTTCCCCCTCCCAGTTATCTTTAACATCATCAGTCTTAGATGAATACCCGTGTCAATTAATGTTATTAAAAAAAAACAAAATTTAATATGCAAGTATTTTAGATATTTTGTTAATATTTAAAATTTTAATATCGGCATTTTTTGAATGAAATTACTGGAGAAAGAAATGTGAACTTCAAGGAGAAAGAAATATCTTGATAAATTGATTTAGATGATTAAATTCTTTTTTTATAAAAAAATTAATTGCATCCATTTTTTTTCTTTTCTTATCTTTTTGGCCAAATCACCTACCTGATAATGACATATGACAATAAAATCCCATAAATATAAAAAATCAAGAGATTTTAATTATGGATCAATTTGCCAATTGATAGATTACTTATTTGAGATGACTTTTGTGATTTAACTAATTCAATTTTAATTTAAATTAAATTTATTTAAATCTGGGTGACAGAATTATCCTTTGCAAATTGCACCATCCAAAATGTGACATCAAATCACACAACTCAAAATGCAATGCATTGTATAACCTATGAGGGTCAGATTATCATGCGCATTTATAGAAATAATGACAACGGGTTTTTTTATACCTCATCTCTCCCCAGAAACGTAATTAATACTCCTCCGGTCCTAATTATAAGACCCAATTGACTTATTTGAGGAGATTAAGGAAGTAAGTTAAGTTGGTTATTTATAATAAATAAGTGTTGTCATTCCTAAAATATCCTTGCTAATTAAGTATATTGGCTAAAACTATCATTATTAGAAGGATTATCTTGGGAAAAAATGCATAAATATAAGAGACAAAATGGATTGGGTCTTATAATTAGGACCAAATAAAAAGTCAAATTGGGTCTTATAATAAGGACCGGAGGAGTATTATTTTACATTAATACTACTTCATTCTCCCCCCCAAAAAAATATTTTAACATATCAATCTTAGATTGTAAGAAATCAATTTGATAAAAATACTAAACAAATAACTATTTGTAAAATAAAAAATAAAATTAAGGAGAAGGAAAAAATTTTAAACTCGTCAAAACTTTTTAGTCAAAATTTAAGGATTTAGTGTTATGAAGAGTAAATTAATAAATAAAAGTATCTTCATGTAAATTTTAATTAAAAAAAGTATGTTAGAATATTCTTAACAAAATATGCTAATTAACTTCACCATACGATGAAGCGTTTCCTTTTTTTGGATACAACTTTGGAATGTTGGCCTCTCTCTACCAAGGGAACTAAAATATATATATATATATAAAATAAATCTTAAAATGTTATTATTGAGATTTTTTTAAAGTGTGTTTGGTATGTTGATGGAATTGATATATGAATTTTATTCAACTTACATATTTATATTACAAAAAGATTAAAACACCCATAACATTAAAAAAAATTCTCCGACAACAGACAACTAGATGAAGCATCATCTAGAATTGAAGAACCCATTGAAAAGCATCAGTACCGCAATCTGAAAAATCAAAACTGAATGATCATCATATTATCAAAAGCATAAAAACCAAAAAATCATGGTCTTTTGCTATCACCATCTGTTTTTCCATCTCTCTCTCTCTCTCTTTTCCTTTCTTCTTCATCATCGTCATCTACTTCTTCCCCTTCAAATACCAATATAAAATATATTATTAAAAAAATCACAATCAGAAAAACAGACACACATCAAAGCCCCCAAGACCTCAATCATGGCACCGTCGCTGACGGAGCAGCGGAACTCTGGCATAGGCTAATTGAGTCCACACATCTCACGTCGACAACGAAGCGATGTCGGCAGAGGGGGAAAAAGAGACGATCTTCGCTGGTGGTTACAAGAAGGAAGACAAAGGAGATGCACAAACCAAAGCAATTTCACCTATGAACTACTAGAGGACGTCTCCAGCACGGGTGATAAGGGGGAAGAGGGTTTGGTAAGGTAATCATGATACAAGAGGGTCGCCGGTCAGTTCCATCATACCAAACAGAGCATAGGTTCTTGTCCTGCGGCCCGATTGTTCCATGTAACTATGATAATGAGTCGAAGCTTTCACTGATGCCATATGAGGTCGCCATTGAGGAAGAATCTGCAATCTTGGAAAAATTTGACCTGAAACTTAGAGTGCTGTTTGTTTGCAGCCGCCAAGTGATAAATGCAAGAGGATTCCAAAGTAACAATTTCTTCACGTCATTTCTGAAAGCAGAATCAAGCACACTCGTCCGGATTTGAGGATTTATGGCCATGAAATTAGCAGGGCAAGTGTTGTTCGCATGAATGCCATCGACTTTGATTACAGTAACCATAAAAAATTGAGGTTTGTCGGAGGAAAAGGAAACTACGACGTTGGACTGGCCAATGAAATCAAGCTCTCTAAGAAGCATAGAATGAGATCAAAGAATCTAAGTTGAGTTAGCTTGCAACCAACAGCTAAGTCGACAGGACCCCACTGACCTGCAACGAACAACTTGGTAGATTTGCAGAGAAGAAAGGATATTTGTACGTCTTCGTGGCTTTCCAACTCTGATAGGGAAGAGATTTGGTTACGCTTGCAGGGAACAGAGATGGAGAAGCATTCACTGAGAACAGAGAGAAAGAGCCTTGGGACATGCACTGAGCATGCAACTTCAGTTGCTTTGAAAGAGGAATTTTTGAAAGCGGATCGAGTTTTGGGCCAAATAACAATGACAACGTAAAACTTTTACACTCCCCATGGCGACTAGTGAAAAACAACGGTGACTTGAGTTCTCGAGGACGAGGAAGGCTTGCAAATAGATACTATGAATGCGTTGGCAAATACTTGTGAACAGAGATTAGCGGGGACATCTTCTGGTTCTACAAGTTTATCTTATGGTTAATGAATATCAACAACCAAGAAGGCTTGTGTTCTCAAGTATGTTCTTTCTTATGTAGGGCTTGAATCGATTCAAAGCATGATTTTGGTTCCGTCAATTTTGTATCCTCAGCTTGGTTTCACTTTTTTTTTTACTCATTCTTATCGTATTCCAAGATTCTATCATATTTTTCCTCTTCATCTTCATCGATGTTCTTCAATTGACCATTACTTCTGTGTTGGATTTATCGTTCTGTTCTGGGTCTTCCGCGTCATGTTTGGCAACACAGTCACTTTCAGCGATTCTGTTCTTGTCGTGAAGCGCATCTACAATTGTTGTGCCCTTGACCATGGCTCGTCGTTCTTCTTCATTTGCTGTGGTTTCATCAATGAAATTCTTGCTGATCATGCATGCAGGGACCCTTGCTTCTGCGAATTCGTCTATGGACTCTTCGTCAACAGTAAAAGTGAGTTTTGAATTCTCACCAAATTATTCTACAATTCTCTCGTCCTTGGTATTGTCCCCTTGCGTCTTCCGTCCATGTCTTTCATGAATGTCTACAAGGCAAATGGCAAAGGGGAGGCTGCTTGGGTCAAAGCATCGGACCACCTATTGAATCTCTGGCTTAAGTCCGTTGATGGCAGTGGACTGTGGGAGATGCGTAAATGGTAAGAGAGCTCCAAATTGGTTTGCGTAATCCTTCACAGCGAAGACATGCTTCAGTGCTCCTAACTCTATGAAGGCGCTAAAGATCATTTTCTCAGCGAAATTGTATTTAAAATTAGTTAGAACCAAAATCTAAAGATCATAAATTGAGGAAATATTGAAATTGTTACCAAAAATAATAATATTCTGGTAGAGTTGTTAAATTATATTATATCAAAAGATTAAATTATTTTTCCGGAGAAAATAATTTTTTTTTCAATATCTGCTTAAGGTATAAACAAAATAAGATTTATTTTAAAAAATAATTAGAAGATCTGTATTTAAAATTAGTTAGAACCAAAACTATTAATCCAAAATTTGATAACATTATTAAATGCCAATGTTAATAATATAATAAGAGAAAAAAAAAAGACCAATTCCAATAAATTGATCCAGCCGAGATGTGCGCAATACAAAATAAATGCATTCAATGAATTAGTAAAAAAAACAATCACAATAAATTAAGGAATAGTATAAAACAAATATGCTAATTAACTTCACCATATGAAACGTTTCCTTTTTTTGGATACAATTTTGGAATGTTGGCCCCTCTCTTCCAAGGGAACTAAACTTTCGACATAGTCAAAAGCATAAATATTAGGTCTAAAATCGGGTTGAAACCTATGTATGTGTTGATTTTGAAGATTATAAGAAATCAATCTACCACAAGATTCTTCAATCAGAATCTCATTATCCCTCCAAGACCCTATGATGGAGGGAGACACAGAAAGGGGTCCGATCTCAAATCTATTAGTCCAACTACTCTCAACACCATACTCATTCATCACCCAAATCCTAGATCTTTTAGTATTCCGATCATATTCAGCAACAGCAAGACTCTCATCAATTACAAAGACTCCGTGTCGAAGAAAAGAATTACTTGCATGCTCAAAGGGCAACTTGATGATCTCAAACACCTCTTTGCTAAAATCAAAACTCAAAATAAAGTCTTTTGTCATCTCATGCTGGTCACAGACATACCAGTGATAAATCCCGTTCAAATAAGACTTGCAATCATAAAAATAATTCCCGAAATCTGGGACAACAACATCTAGGACTCTCCAAGAATTGGTACTAAGATTATAAACTTCGGCTAGACGTACTCCTAGTTCCAGCAGAGGGCTATCTGAAACTTGAACAAGCTTGTAATTTTTTGAGATGGGATCAAACCCAAACCAAACATGAAAAAATCTATGCCTTTTGGTAGAAGGCATGGCGACTTTGGAATAAACTTGACTTCTTTCGTTGTTGGGTTCCAGAGAATTAAGTCACCCCTAGTCCGAGTATTTTCTCTATCAAGGACACTGACCACATGCTGACAAAATATCCCATGGCCATCACAATGACCATAAAACCTCTGATGTCGGTATCGCCTGCGAGGGAGAGGTTCCATGGGGTGGAGACAACAATAAGAAGGTTGGTGCTTAGAGTTAGAAATCAGGGATACGCAGGGCACCCGATTGACACCCTCCACACTGCAGAGAAGCTTGAGGCGGCGACTCTTGCTGATAGATCTGGACCGTTCAAGATGTTTGGCAATAAAAGAACGGTCAGTGATGAGAGTGTACCAGGATTTGGCTACACGTTTGAATCTGAGCAGCGATTTTGCTGGCAGCCTCACAATGATCTCTTCCATGAGACCTTCAGGAAGAACATTATCGCTCAGCATTTTTCTTGTTTTTATGGGAGAGTTATTCTCTTGAGGCAATTCGGTCCTTGTATATATAGGCGCTCAAATAATTATAAGGATTAATTTTCTAATTGATGATAAATTTTATTCGGTAAGATAACTGATTGAAAATCTATGAATATGAGATTCCTTTTACGATGGTAGATTACTCAATTTCAATTTAAATTAAATTTATTTATTTCCTTATTTACATGTGGATAATAGATAGATTGATCACGCACATCATTAGTTAGATAAAATTAACTATTAACTATTTTAAACAATTAAAATTTGGTTTGAATGAAATGAGTCAGCATTCATATACCTGATATTGTAAATCACATATAATAAAATAGTTTAAACATTTTATTTTTCCAACCTAAAATTAATCAATTATTCAGCATTAGTTATGGTCTTTTGGATAGATTTAAAGCTTGCTGAGACAATAGGAAAACCCATTAAAAAATATAAATTGAATTAAATAATTGAATTCTTGTTTTTAATTTCATTTTGATTTTGATTTTATTTTTTTTATTTTTCTACAGGAGATTTGAAATAAAATATCATGAAAAGGAGACTTATTTAAGATAATGGCTTTAAAAGATTATTATTGTTAGATATTTTTTCCTCATCAGCGTGGCTTTTCTAAAATATATTCCTAACCTGAATATTCATAATTTCATGTGATCATTTGATTTTCTCTGTTTTTTTTTTTCCCTTTGAAGAAGAAAACCTTCTTAAAAATTTGTAAAATCATTCAAGCTCATCCATATAAATGGTCAAGCGGGAGATTCTGCAAATACTTTCGTTGGCATTAACAGTTAGATAATTCTTTTTCTTTTTCTTTTTGAGTAAACAGATTGAAAGAAGCAAGTTTCTTTCATTTCCCATTGCCTTCAGCCTTCCTCTTTTATGTTTCTGAATAGATAGATTGTGTAGTTCCATTCTCACGATCCTACTAAGAAACATAACAGATTGGCAAACTAATGTTTGCCTTCTACATATAATTTTCTGATGTGTTTGGATAAAGAACTCTTTCAAGATGATCAGTGCCCCTCATCAATGAATTAATAAAAAGGTTACAAAAACTTAAGAAGAGCATAAAAATAAAATATACTGTACATCATCATCATATTTTGATGTGTTTCCTTTTCTTTGGATCAGAAATTTTGCTGTGTTTCCTCGTCTCTGTCAAAGGAACCAAACTTGGGACATAGTCAAAACCACAAATCGCTGGGAGAATATTAGCTTGAAGCCTACCTATGTGTCGAGTTCGAAGATTATTATAAGAAATCAATTGTCTGCCATGTTCCCGAATAAGGATCTCATTACGCCCCCAAGAATTTAAGATGGAGGCAAACTTTGGAAGCGTTCAACGTCAAATTTGTTAGTCCAACTACTCTCAACACCATACTCTTTCATCACCCAAATCTTAGATTTCCGAGTCTCCCAGTCATGTTGAAGAATAGCAAGACTCTCATCAAGCACAAAAACATTGTGTCCACAGTAATAAGAATCAGTAGCAGAGGGCAATTGGATCGTCCCAAACACCTCTCTGGTAAAGTCAAAGCTCAGAATAAAGTTCTTTCTGATTCCAGACGGGTCATAAATATACCAGTGATAAACACCATTCAAATAAGTCTTACAATCTTCGACATAGAAATCAAAAGCTGCTGGGACAACAACATCTAGCATCCTCCAAGAATTAGTACTGAGATTATATACTTCAACCAGACGTACTCCTCCCTCCAAAGGAGGATGGGAAACTTGAACAACCTTGTAATCCTTTGTAATGGGATCAAACCCAAATCCAAACATGTTAGAAAATATGGCTTTGGGTTGACATTGGGGTAGCGGAATAAGCTTATCCTCTTTTGTGGTTGGGTTCCAAAGAATTAAGTTACCCTCATCCCCATCATCGTGATCTACGTTTTCATTGACATCGGTGGGGTCCAAGACATGGAGACAAAAAATTCCATTGCATTGACCATAGAATGTACAATATAGCCTGGGGAGAGGCTCTAAATACTGGGGCACACAATAAGGTTGGTCTTTAGAAATTAGGGTTATGTAGGGTGGCCTATCCACACGGTAGCCATAGAAGATAAGCTTACGGCTGCGGCCATTGGTGATAGATTTGGACCGTTCAAGATGTTTGGCAATAAAAGAAGGGTCAGTGATGAGGGCATACCAGGATTTGGCTACACATTTGAACCGAAGCAAGGATTTTACAGGCAGTCTCACCATGATCTCCCCCATGAGATCTTCAGGAACATTGCAGCATTTTTCTTGTTTTTTATGGACAAAAAATCTTTTTGAGGCGATTTGGTCCTTGTGTATGTAAGCACTCAAATCATAAGGACTAATTTGCTAATTGATTATAAATTTTATTTGGTGAGATAATTGATTTCAAATCTATGAGATGACTTTTAGGATCGTAAATTGCTCAATTTTAATTTAATTTAAGTTTATTTATTTCTTTAGTTACATCATGAGCTTCTTTTTTTTTAACAGATGCATAACAGCTAGATAACATTGACTATTAACTATTTTAAATAATTAAAATTTGGTTTGAATTAAATTATTCCGCATTTCTAATATACTTGATATTGTAAATAGTTTAGACTTTTTTTTTCCAAACTAAAAACCTAAAATTAATCAGTTATTTATCATTACTTATGTATAGATTTATAGTTGTTGAAACAATCGCAAAACCCATTAGATAATATAAATCGAATTAAATGATTAAATAATTCTCGTTTCTCCCCCCCCCCCCCAACCCAACCTGCATCCATTGTCCCCCCGGGGCCCAAATCCCCTCCCTCATACGAGATAATAATGAAATCGCCTACATTATACTAATTAAGGATCAATTTGCCAATTGATAGGTTTTATTTAGCGAGATAATAATAAAATTCCATAAATTGTGGCTTTTACGATTTTTAAATAACTTAATTTTAATTGAAATTAAAATTTATTTAAATATAGGTAACATAATTATTCTATACAAATTGCACAATCCAAGGAGCCACATCAAATCACACAACTGGAAATGCAGTGCACACGTACAGACTTGTGTTTGTCCCGGTGGCTCAGGTTATCATACGCATATATGGAAACATTGTCATTGGAACCTTCGTTTTTATACCTCCTTCTACAAATTAAATAAAAAAGTAATTATTAATATTAATAAAAAAAATCAACATTGTGAATAAATCCTATTTGATGATAATATATAGATAAAGCTGACATATTGTTTTAATTTTTATAACAATGTTTTGGTGTGTAGCTTAGAAACAAGGAAGTGATTTTGAAAAATTATAACTTCTTACTACCTAAGATTTAGTACTCAAATTTCAACTGATTAAACCGACAATTTATATGTTGGAAGAAATATTAGGATACATTTTTTAAAATAAAATACACAATAAAAGCTCAGTCTAACGATCAGTTTTTCATCTCTTGCAGTCTTGCTCTTTCCTCTTTAGCTGATCTGCCAAGAAAAGATGGTGTACAATGATATATAATTATGACTCCATACCACTCAAAATTTCAACTAGTTACTCAGGGGCAACTATAATTTCTCATGTTTTGGCCAAAATATGAATATCCTTTATTGTTCTGTTAGTAATTCTAATGTCTTGATTCCCTTGCAAGGTGACAAAGTGAGGAGATGAAATGCATAGAAGACATGGCTGCGACCATGTCAGTACGAGTCGATTTTGCTTTGGTATCTTCTAGTGGATCATATCACAATAACCTTATTGCTGCTTTTCAGAAGATCGTTATTGAATAACCAACAGCTCATTAAGTTAATTCAAGCTCCACCTCAAATAGATCTGCGATTCGGGCTTCTAGTCAATCCCACCTCCAGAATAGTGATGCAACTGGCGACGCCAAGTGAAATTGGACATAATCAATCTACTTTGCCATTGTTAGCCTCGATGTAGCATCCAGCCGTAGGCAATACCACATTATTTTGTTTTGAGCGTGATTGGAAGTAAGGCTATTCTGGAATATGATTCCTTCTTTAGTCACTGAGCTCGATTTTGGTAGTAATTTATATATCAAATAGTGAACATAGAGATTTATTGATTGCTGCCGCCATCTAAAGATAAAATTGATGAGACAGAAAGAATTTAGAATTTTGATTGAGGCGGATTTTATGAGGTTATTGATTTGTACAGGTTATGCTTTGGCCTTGATTTTTTTTATTTTGAAATTTTCTGATGGGTTACAATGTGATATGTGGTTGAAGCAAAGCTGTTGACATTTTAGTACTAAAAAGAAGAACATTGAATATTGAAAGAGAAAAGAAAAAAAGTTTACCGTCATTTCATTTGGTGAATTGATTGTGGTTATTTGCTCTCTGAAACTTTCTCCCCACTTTAATTGAAATGCACGTTGTTTTTTTCATGAGTTATAATTAAATAATTCTTTTTAGTAGAATCATCAAAATAACTTTGCCTAGACTTATAAGTTAAAAAAATAGCAACTAAGACATTATAATAGTAAAGTCATCTATTAAATAAATAAGGGGTTAATTAAGAATGAAGAGTCTTGAGTGTCTATTTTCTATTTATAAGAAATGTTCATGCAAGTTTTTAACAACACCAAACACCAACTCATGTATGTGAGGGAGAACTTGGAGGACGGGAGGCCTTCCACTTGTGTGTTGTTGTTGTTATTGAAAGGCTCAACTTTATCCTATCCTCATTGTGTTGCCAAGAATTTATAAACTATTTTATTTACAAATTATGAATAATACAGTTTGTGTTTTGCATGCGTGTGTCATGAATTAAATTAGAACTATCTCAGCACAATAAAATAATAAGTATATATTTAATATTTAATTCTGTTGTCACAACTCGAAGCATGTGAAAATGCATTTGAATTATATTGTTAAGCAAAATTGATAGTAAACAAACGGCAAAGGTAGAGAAAGTGGGGAAGAAAGCCGAAACAATTGGCCCAAAGAGAAGGTCATATAAATTGGACCCTTCTCTGTGTTTTTTTAAGACGAAAAGAATCCTAAAGATTCTATCTAATTATATTTTGGCCGTATTTCTCTAAAGCTTGATGTTAAACATAGGAAGAAATTGGTTGCCAAAATACTTGTGTCCTACCCACATATTTTTTAAACAAAAAACTAGTTTTTTTCATTTTTAAAATGGTATTTTTTTTATAATACTACTTTCGATCCTTAATATAAGAGTCAATTTGATTTTTAATTTAGTCTTAAATATAAACTCGTAATCTACATTATCTCTCATTTTTATCTATTTTTTTCTAAAGTAGTTATTGTAGTAGTTGTATATGTTAAATATTATACGAAATAGTAGTTCTGACTAATATATATTATTAATAAGGATATTATAGGAAATTCAACTCATATTTGTTACAAATAACTAATTTAACAAATTTTTTTAATCTATTCAAATTAATCAACTAGCTTTTATATTGATAACTGAAAGTAGTAATTTGCTGGATTTCGTACCACTTTTCCATTATTTTTTATGTTGATTTTGTTATTTTGTTGTTTTTTTAATTTTTCTAAAGGAGATTTGAAATAAAATATCATAAAAAGGAGAGCTTCAAAAGATGATTATTGTTAAACTTTCTTCCTTATTAGCATGGCTTTTCTAAAATATATTCCTAACCTGAATATTCTTAATTTCATATGATCATTTGATTTTCTCTGAAGAAGAAAACCTTCTTAAAAATTTGTACAATCATTCAAGCTCATCCATATAAATGGCCAAGGGGGAGACCTTGCAAATACTTTCGTTGACATTAATAGATTGGGTAATTCTTTTTCTCGAGTACACAGATTGAAAGAAGCAAGTCTCTTTTATTCAGTAGTCCTATTGACTTTCTCTTGATTCTATTCAGAAAAATAAAAGAGGAAGACATAGAACTACTGAATGAAAAAGACTTGCTTCGTTTCTCTCTCTCTCTCTCTGGCCATCGTCTCTTTCTATCTTTTGGTTTAAATTTCAACTTCTATCCAGATGGTGAAATTCGATGATCCAAAAACTAAATATGGTGTGATTTGGAGGAATCAAGTTGGTGTTAGGTTTTGAGACTAGCATCTTCCTTATCTTCTAACCAACCAAAAATGGTAATAAGTTATCTTGTTAATTTGGTTTTTGAAATCAGCTCAGTTTCTCTTCGTTCATGGAACGAGACTGGGAAAGGAAGCCATAGCCATGTGGTGTTAGGTTTCATTTATTAATTTCATATCCTCAAAAAAAGGTCTTAGGTTGTCTTTACAATTACATTAGCCTATCAGCTTTTGGCCACAGGATATACGCGCAAAAGTACTTTGCTATACTGGCGAACCATTGTGGATGATGAATTGATGATTGAGGGACTTTGTCTAGCATTTCTTATTATTTATTTTGTTTCCTATATATATATATATATATATATGACTCAGGGACTTTCATAAAATTGAGGTTAGAATATCCTGTAGCAAGGTCTTAGGTTCCCCCCCCCCCCCTTATTGTATAGGTTCAGTCAAGTGGTTCGAAGAAACTTTTTAAGTAAAGTGTGTTTCTAATGTGTAACTGTTTTTATGCTGAGGTATGGAGTATAGGCCTCATTAGCTTATATTTTCCTCTTATGTGTTAGTGTTCATGTTGGGCGTTGATGATATATCCTTTTATATTTGTTTTGTTTTCTTTCTCCATGTAAAACTTATTTTTACGTTTTATTTAGATAACATATATAATAAGCATTTTTTTATCTTGACATGAGTAGGAACTTCTTTTAATTATTTTTTGTCATTGTGAGAAATAGTTTATGATTATTAATTTATTATCAACAGTGAATTGCTTTTTTTTTACTTTCCTTTGCATCACATTGTACCCGAATAATAGTTTTTTTTTAAAAAAATTATTTTAAAGTTTATATTCTTAACAATTAAATGATTTATCAAATATAATGCTCTTTATATCAGAGAACAAGTAAGCGCGAGATAAAAGAGGGAAATTAAAAAAAAAAAGAGTCATTAAAAGAACAAATTGCGATCTGGAAAATACCTTTTGGTTTCAATAATTTGATCACTTGTTTTCATGGAGGAGTGCATGTTTATGCATTAGAACTTAAACCAGACAAAACATATACAAAATTCTCATGTAAGTTTATGAGCTTACAAATCTCTATCATTTCAAAACTTTGATGAGAAATAAATACCAATTCAGTCTACTCCCATTTTTCTAAGATACAAGGGAAAAGCAGAAAACATCAACTATAGT